CACGGACGAGTTATCGCCTCAATTGGAGTCCGCCTCTGCATTTTCGAGAGGGCCACAACAGGAGCACCTTATCTATTTTCACTATGATGTAATAAGCTCCTCTCTCTATGTACCACCCTTCTCCGGTTAATAAACTTGGTTTTTATTATTTTCTCTTTGGAGACTTTTTGATTCTCCGCTCGCATTGACCTCCTGGCCGACTGGTCGCCGAGTTGACCGTCTGACAAATCTTAAAATCTGACATCTGTGATATTCCCCGTATCTCTGGAAAATCTTGCCTTTTCAGTTAAAGTGCGAATCTTACTCTTCTCAAGCGGATTTGATGGATCCATTCCCTGATAGAGATTCCTACCTCCCGTCTAATCTGGCCTCGTAATGTCAGTTATGATTCCCTCCGTAATTTCTGCCTAGATATTCGCCCTTCTGGGGCTATATAAGGGTCTCATATGCTTGTGATTCATATCACTTCTCATTTTAGAAATCTTCGGTCATGAGCTACAGGGTCGGTGATCGTCGCTTTTCCATCCGTAACAAGGAACATGCTCGCCTTTAAGAATTAAGGCAGAAGAGGCTGGCCAACGGCGGTCACCTATTGGGTGACTCGACCTCGAACCCCATCGTGGTGCCTCCAAACATGCTAGACCTGGTCCCCGTGGATTCGGTCAAATGTCGAGTGGAGCACATGGCGGATGACTCTAGGCCAGATGAGGAGGAGGCGTGGGAGGTTCCTCCCCTTTTGGGGTGGCTATGTCTCCCAGCGCCCTTGAGAGGCCTCTTCAGATGATCGATGATGGGAAGCCGGCTGTCTATCTGGATGATGTGCAGGAGCCGGAGCCGATTCCTCCACCCTTCCATCCTCAGCTTTTCCTAGAAGGTCCGCCTCCTGTTCGCCCCGCGGAGGAAAAAGACCAAGCCGTGATTTGTCCTTTTCTTTGTACTTTCTTGGCCGGGATGTAGGCCTTTGTTGCTTTCTGATCAATAAACTGTTGTTTTGTCGCTTTTCTGTGCGTATTGTTTATTATTCTTCGCCTACCGTTAACCGACTCCTCGCTGTTTTATCTTATCTCCCCTTTTGTGAGGTCGACGCGGTCCTTTCTGTCCGACTTGCAGACCCGACCTTTCTTCGTCGAGAGCTATTCATGCTGACTGATGGGCTTGGCCCGTCGATCCCCTTGGGATACCTCCAACCCGTACTCGGATAGCCCAGAGGCCGTGGCCTGCAATGGGCCTCACGCTAACAGGCCGGGTCATCTTTACCCGCCTTTGGCCTAGGGTAGATGCGCCGTCACAGGCTAACCCTAGACCTGAATCGTCACTCTACTTTTCGAGGCCATTAATTACAAGCGTCCCTTCGCATCTTGTCAACCCTTACTCTCCTCCAATAGATGCGCGACACGTGGCTGTTCCTTGGGATTCTTCCCAATTTAAATACCCCGTTCTTCCCTCCTCTTCTCACTTACCTTCTCCATACTTCTTTCAAAAGAGCTCTTGAGACCTCATCAATCTCCTCCTGCGCTTTCTTTCCACCGGACTTCCAGGTTGGTATCATGTCATCTTCCCCTTCTTCTTCTCCTTTTCATCGCTCGGTGGGGTCTCCCGCCTCGACTTCCCCGTCTTTTTCTTCTTCTTCTTCTTCTTCTTCTTCTTCTTCTTCTTCTTCTTCTTCTTCTAGCCCTCCCCGTCGCATGGAGATTCCGTCTGGTTTCCCATCGGCGTCATCTTCTCAACCGACCCCCTCTTCTTCGGGGGCGGTTACTCCTCTGACCCCAGCCCCTCTCACGACGGTGATGGCTCTTCCTGACGGTGCCGGACGGTCGATGGGCAAATTTGACTCCATCGTCCTGCCATCGGGGCTTCCGTCGCAAGTTTCTGCGGCGGACCTTGATATGGCCCGTTTTCTTTTAGGGCCTTCGGCCACTGTTTATCCTCCGGAAAACCGGCCTATATATGACCCGCCGGAGGGTTGTGTGGGCATCCACCTGCACTCGGTGGCCTTTGGCTTCCGAGTGCCTCCTTCTCCATTTCTCTCTCTTCTTTTTAGTCATTACAACCTGGTTCCTGGTCCATTAGTACCCAATTCGCACTGCCTCCTTGCTTGTTTTATCAATTTGTGTCACTGGTGGCTCTACGAGCCGGACTTAGACCTTTTTCGGTATTTATTCGCCGTGAACAAGGTCGGCTCGCACTCCCCGGGCTTCGTTCAGGTCGCCGCCCGTCCTGGGTGTCAACTGTTTGAGGGTCTTCCAGATTCTATAAAGGACTGAAAGCCCTTTTTCTTCTTTGTCCGTCCTTCCTTCACTCCCTTTACCTTTCCCACTCTGTGGCCGGCTGCTCTTTTCAAACCGTGCCCCCAGCGCGCCGTCTTCACTCAGGACGCGATCCAGGGTGCCGAGTTCTTGAAGAGCTGGGGACCTTACTCCGTCAAGTACTGGTCTCGAGTCCGGGCTATGGTGAAATGGGGCCTTCTGCCAGCCGGCGCGGCCACCATAGGTAGTCCTTCCGTGATCTCTCTTTTCCTTATCCTCTCTGTATGATCCGACTGCTAATACTTTTCTACTTTTCCGCAAGTCCCTACGACTCCTACTCCACCAGCTCGGACGAAGTCGAGGCCCCTACACCGGAGATGGCTGATCGTGCAGAAAAGATGAGGCATCGGTTGTCTCAGCGCACGTCAGGTGCCGCCGCGGCTTCTTCATCTCTCCCCTCTCCATCTCCGAGGTCAACTCCACCACCGCCGAGGAATGTGGTGGACCTAACACCGTCCCCGGCTGCCTCTCCTTCCAGGCAACCCCCTCTATCCCCATCTGAGAGCCCGAGCTCCAAACGCCCTTTGGAGCAGTCGGATGCGCCGGCCCCAAAGAAGATCCGGCTAGGCGTGGAGCTCGATGAGAATGCCCAAATCTGGCAGGGCAACTACTCGGTCCAGAACTGGGCCGAACATGTCTTCCTGCCTAAGGACCTGGAGGCGGCAAGCCAGATGCAGGACGAGTACATTCTGGAGGCTTCCCTCCGGCAGTCTTACCGCGTAAGTATTCCGACCCATCTCTCTTGCTTTTTTCTCTTGTTCCCGACTAACCTTCCTCCTCTTTTTTGCAGAACCTCACCTTCCAGTTGGAGCTGAGGAAACGACTGAGGGGGCTCAAGATCACGATGCACTCCCTCGCCGCTCGCCTGCGCCAGACGGAGGAAGCTCGCCTGGAGGAGCAGGCCGTCCATGCCAAGACTCTGGAGGTGCACACCGCTGAGTTGCTGAGGGTAACCCCCCAATGGGAGGAAGAGCGGGATAAGGTGGCGACCATCGCCACTTCTTCGGTGGAGGACTACAAGAAGTCAGCGGCCTTCGAGGCGGACGTGAAAGCAGCGGTGGCGGCTCGACGGGAGGAGATCGCCAAGGAGTGGCTGGCGACTCCTAAGGGAGATGACTATCTCCTGGATTTGGGCGAGCGTGATTATCGCCTACGATTCGCGAGGCTCAAATGGAGATCTATGCCTCCTTGAAGGCCCGCGACCCGACCTTCACCCCCGAGAGCTGGGGCCTTAAACCGGTGCTTGATCCTTACCGGCGGCTGACGCGCCTGTGGCGACCGCAGATCCAGCGGTTCCTTCTGTAGCGAACCTAGCCGAGTCTACTGAAACGCCTCCCCTGATAGGGGTGAGCATAAATACCGATAAACCGATAAAACCGATGACCGAAGACCAAACCGACCGAAAATTTCGGTTTTCGGTCGGTCATCGGTTATGAGAACAAAAAAAATATCGGTTATTCGGGTAATCGGTTATTCTAGCGGTTATTGGAGGTTCAAAACCGCGGTTACCAAATAACCGACACTATATATATATATATATATATATATATATATATATATATATATATATATATATATATAATTATATAATTTAATTTAAGACAATAGATAGTATATTAGTATTAATGTATTATAGTAGACAGTATAGTGGGTAGACTGTAGACACGTGTAGAAGACTTAGAAAGTTAGAAGTCCTTTACCATCCGTCCGTCCCTCTCTCTTAGTCTCATTCTAAGTTTCTAACATCGCAATTCGCAACCCTAAGTCCCTAATCCACTGAACCACAAACGAAGCCGCTCCTCTCGGCTCTCGCAGTTTTTACCGTCCGTCTCCGGCAGTCCGGCCTCCGCGCCACTACCTCTCCGGTCGAAGCCCTCGCCTCACCGCGTAGTAGCGCCGCCTCGCCGGTCGTCGCACCGCTCGGCTGTTCGCCGGTTATCGCAAATTCGTCGGTCGTCGCACCTCCAGCCAGTCAGCCTCCGCCAGTCAGCCTCACCTAAGATTCTTCAGCCCCTTCACAGTTCAGTTCACCCATCTCAGATTTCTCAAGGTAAGTTACATACTAATTTTATAATTTATATTTGTTGAATTTGAAGTCTTTGATAGTTCACAGTTCACTAGTTTCATTTATATAAACAAAATCATAGTGATATTTATTTTTAAAATTTTTACAGTGTTTTGGCTCCAGAAATCCAGATTCATCAGGCTCCAAAACTGAACAATTTATTCAAGGTAATTTTTAATTTTTGTTTACTTTAAATTTATATTAAAATATTGTTAACAATCTATTCAAGTTAAAATTTAAAACTGCAAAATGATAAGGTATGAAATGGTTAACAATCTATTCAATCTATTTAAGTTTTTAAGTTTGGCAGTATGAACTTTTAATTTTGGATTTTTAGCAGTATGAATATTTCATTAGGAATTCTGCATTTATGGCAGTATGAACTTTTAATTTTGACAGTATGGTCTAGTAGTCTACATCAGTAGTTTGCCAATTGGGAACCTACTTTTACTCCAATCTTGTATCATTGTATGTATGTAGTATTAATTTCTGCATTTATCCAAAGAGACATCAAAGCAATCAAACTTAACAATTCAATTTATTTAAAGAAGACTAATTTGGCAGTATGAATAATTTTTTCAGTTTTTAATTTTAGTATTAAATTATTCTTTTAATTATAGATGTCAACAATGAGATCGATGCATATGGATGATAATATGGATGATGATTCAATTGAAAAAGAGCCAGAGATTGCACAAACTGTTGCAACGGAGGCTAATGAGGAAGTAAATCAATCTAAGAAAAGAAAGGTTAGCCGACACAGATCTGAGGTATGGGAGAATTTTACTAAATTTAGTAATGAGAAATTTGAGCAAAAAGCTAGATGCAATTATTGTCAGAAAGAATTGTTTGCTGATCCTAAATTGAACGGCACTAGTTCACTAAAAGCCCATGTTAGAAGCTGTCCAAAAATGCCCCGTGCTAGTAGTGACCCTAGCCAAACTGAATTGCTTGAAGGGGAAGGATCACTAGGTTGTGTGAAGTACAGTGCTGAGGCACTTAGAAGGAGCATTGTTGAAATGATTATAAATCATGAAATCCCCTTCAAGTTTGTTGAATTTAAGGGTTTTAGAAAATGCTTGTCTATTGCTTGTCCAAGGTTTAAGGTTCCATCACGATGGACTATTGCTAGGGATTGTTATGGTATGTATTTGGATGAGAAGCAAAAGTTGTCTAAATTTATCCATATGTCTTCACTTAGGGTTTCACTTACCACTGACACTTGGACATCATTACAAAGGGAAAATTATATGTGTCTTACTTGTCACTTTATTGACAATAATTGGAGCTTGCAAAAAAGAATAATTAATTTTTGTCCAATTAATAGTCATAAAGGTGAGGATATTGGTAAGATGATTGAAAAATGTTTGCGTGATTGGGCAATAGACAAGGTTTTCACAATTACCGTGGATAATGCTAGTTCAAATGATGTGGCTACTCAATACTTGAAAAGGAAATTGAACAATGTTAGTGGAACTATCTTAGAGGGCAAATATATTCACATGAGATGTGTTGCACACATTATTAATTTGGTTTTCACGGACGGGTTGAAGGAAGTGAATGAATCAATTGCTCGTGTTAGATTCGCGGTGAAGTATGTGAGGCAATCACCGGCTAGATTGCATAGGTTTAAAGAATGTATAGACATGGAAAAAATTCAATCTAAATCTTTGTTGAGCATGGATTGTAGCACTAGATGGAATTCTACCTACTTGATGTTAGATGTGGCCCAAAAATTTGAAAGAGCATTTGAGAGATTTGAAGAGATTGACCACAATTATAAGCATGAGCATGTGTTGAATGGTGGCACACCCAAGGAAGAGGATTGGGGAAATGTTAGGAAAGTGAGCAAGTTTTTGCAACGTTTCTATGAATTCACATTGAAAGTTTCCGGAACTACATATGTGACTAGCAACGTTTACTTTCCTGAAATTTGTGAATTGTATTGTACTTTGTGTGATTGGATTAAGAGTGATGATGAACAGTTTAGCGCTATGGCTAAAAGAATGAAGGAGAAATTTGACAAATATTGGGGGAATGTTGAGAGGATGAATATGATACTTTATGTTGCAACTGTTCTTGACCCTAGAAGGAAATATGTATTTGCTGATTTTTGTTTCAAGAGAATGTATTCACCTGATCAAGCTTCAGTATTGTCTTCTAACCTTAGAGATGCGACTAGTAAGTTGTTTGTTGAATACCATGGGTTGTTGAAAGTTTCACAAGGTGAGGGTAGCAATTGTACTCAACCAACGAGTGCCACTAATGCGGATGGGTCGAATAGTGATAGTCCACTAAACATTGTAACTGACTTTGAAAAGTATTTGGTTGAAATTGGACTTGGGCAGCAAAAAAAACGAATTGGATAAATACATCAATGAAGAGCTTGATACTCAGAATGGTGGTGGTGAATTTGATATTCTCCGTTGGTGGAAAGAAAATGCTCATAGATTTCCCATTCTTTCATGCATGGCTCGTGATGTATTGGCAGTTCCTATATCAACTGTCGCATCTGAATCTGCATTTAGCACCGGTGGACGTGTGCTTGATACTTATAGGAGTTCATTAACTCCTAAAATTGTACAAGCTCTTGTGTGCACTCAAGATTGGTTACGAGAAGAAAATGTCATTTCAATGACTGATTTAGTTGAGCATGATGTTGGAGAGATGTATAAACTTGACGTGGGTGAGTATCAAAATCATTACTTTATTTTAAATATTATAATTTTCTTATTGTTATTTCTTTATTTAATGTTTGTATTTTCATATGATTTAGATATGTCAAAGATGAGGTTGGATCCTGTGATTGATTAGAAAAACAAGATGCAAGAAGAATATAATTGACTATGTAAGTTAATACTGTATGTTTATGTTTATTTATTATGTATTAATTATAATATTCATATATCATATATTAACTTTTGGTTACCTTTTGGATGCAAGTAAGCAGGTCTTGATGAAGATTGGCACTTTGGGATTGGCACTTTGAGCCTTTGGCAGTGTTGGAACTTGGTTTTTTTTTTTTTTCTTTTTGAATTTGTATGCAACTTTGGGTCTTTGGACTTTGGCTATGCAGATTTGGCAGTGTTGGTATGATTATGAACTATGAGTCTATGATTCTAACTTTTAAGAACTAAGAACTTGGTAGTTGGCAGTGATGAATGTATGCTTAGTATTTATTTGGAAGTATGAATTATGAACTTGGGCACTTGGCAGTTGTTTAAGTATTAAATACTTTGATAATGATGTATGTTTTATTATTTTTATTTTTAATATTCAGTAAAATTTAGAGTTAGTTCACGGTTTTTCGGTTATAGGTATATAGTCGGTCGGTTACGGTCGGTTATAGGGAGTTAAAAAATATACTCGGTTATTCGGTTATCGGTCGGTTATTGACCGTAACCGACCGATGCTCACCCCTATCCCCTGATAGAAGATCCTTCACTTGCTCTTCCAGCTGGAACATCGGCGGAAGACCGAGTCGAAGAACTTGACGTTGCCGCCCCCTCCCCAATAGTCTAGGGCTTTTTTAATAATTCTTCTTTTGTAAGGGTTGGCCTCCGTCTCAGGCTTTTTTCGAATTAATGAAGTTTCTTTTCCATACTTCTTTTTCTTATTACAATCGTTTTAACTTTCCCCATTCGCCGGCTCTTCCTGGTTTCACCATGAAAAACATATCCAAGGATTTGAGCCCTTCTATCTCTTCTCGCCGAGTCCCTTAGTCGAGGCGACTCTTTCTTAGCCTGGCTTTGGAAGCTTCTAAGGGTTTGAATCCCTCCCTTTTTCCTCGCCGAGCCCGTCAGTCGAGGCGACTCCTTATGACTTTCCTTGGAAACGACTAAGGGTTTGGGCCCTTGTTTCCTTTTCTCCTTTTCTCGCCGAGTCCCTCAGTCGAGGCGACTCCTTATGGCTTTTCCTTGGAAACGACTAAGGGTCTGGACCCTTGTTTCCTTTTCTCTTTTTCTCGCCGAGTCCCTCAGTCGAGGCGACTCCTTATGGCTTTTCCTTGGAAACGACTAAGGGTTTGGGCCCTTGTTTCCTTTTCTCTTTTTCTCGCCGAGTCCCTCATTCAAGGCGACTCCTTATGGCTTTTTCTTGGAAATGACTAAGGGTCTGGGCCCTTGTTTCCTTTTCTCTTTTTCTCGCCGAGTCCCTCAGTCGAGGCGACTCCTTATGGCTTTTTCTTGGAAACGACTAAGGGTCTGGGCCCTTGTTTCCTTTTCTCTTTTTCTCGCTGAGTCCCTCAGTTGAGGCGACTCCTTATGGCTTTTTCTTGGAAACGACTAAGGGTCTGGGCCCTTGTTTCCTTTTCTCTTTTTCTCGCTGAGTCCCTCAGTCGAGGCGACTCCTTATGGCTTTTTCTTGAAAATGACTAAGGGTCTGGGCCCTTGTTTCCTTTTCTCCTTTTCTCACCGAGTCCCTCAGTCGAGGCGACTCCTTATGGCTTTTTCTTGGAAACGACTAAGGGTCTGGGCCCTTGTTTCCTTTTCTCTTTTCCTCGCCGAGTCCCTCAGTCGAGGCGACTCCTTGTGGCTTTTTCTTGGAAACGACTAAGGGTCTGGGCCCTTGTTTCCTTTTCTCTTTTTCCTGACACTGCTACCGAGATGTGAAGAATGATAGCGCTTCTTATTCATGATTAAACTTCAAGGGGGTACATAGGCTAACCTTTTAAGGCTTCAAACTCACTGATAAAATTTCTTCAAGTGGATCACATTCCAGATTCGGTCAACGAGCTTCCCTTCCAGCGTTTCCAGTTTGTATGTGCCGGCTTGGACCACTGCAGCAATGCGATAAGGTCATTCCCACTTAACTACGAACTTTCCCCCTTCCGTGGGCTGGCTTGCCTGTCGGTCTCGTAGCACGAGGTCGCCGACTTGAAAGGTCCGCGGGCGAATCCTCCGATCCCGATATCTTTTTACGGCCTGTTGATATTCCACCATTCGGGCATAGGCGGCCTCCCTTCGTTCCTCCAAGACGTTCTTCTCGATCTTGAGGTTTTCTTCATTCCCTTCATCCGAATAATTGTGGACTCGGTGGGTGGGCTCAACAACTTCTATTGGAACTTTTGCTTCGAAGCCATACGCAAGAGAAAACGGGCTTTCACCAGTGGCTCGTCTCTGTGTGGTTCGATATGCCCATAGAACCCGATCGAGCTCGTCCGCCCAGTTCCCTCTAATGTCTTCTAACTTCCTCCGAATTCCGTCCACTATCGTTCGGTTCACATTCTCGACTTGCCCGTTGGCTTGAGGGTAAGCGACGGACACCTTGGTGTGATGTATACTGTGTCGACGACAGAAGTCGGTGAAGGGCTGACAGTCGAACTGTCGGCCGTTATCACTAACTATATGCTCAGGCAATCCGAAGCGGCAAATCACCTTCTTCCATAGGAAACGTCGACACTAGTACTCGGTAATGGTGGCTAGCGGTTCGGCCTTGACCCATTTAGTGAAGTAGTCGATGGCTACAACACAGAATTTCAGATGTCCAGGGGCGACTGGCAGTGGGCCCAGCAAGTTGATCCCCCATTTTGCAAACGGGATGGCCGTGGTGACTGGCGTATAGAAAGTGGCGGGCCGAGTATCTTTTCCGGCGAATGCTTGACAAACCACGCACTTGGCTATCCATTCGATGCAGTCTCTCATCATGGTGGGCCAATAATATCCTTGGACAACTAACTTTTGGGCGAGAGTGTGGGCACCTTGGTGGGCAGCGCAGATTCCGCGGTGGGCCTCGTCCATTATCTTCTCCGCCTCGGGCCTGAGTAGACATCTGAGGAGGCGACCTCCGAATGATCGTTTGTACAACTGTCCGTCGATAATCTCGAACGACGGGGCCTTGCGGCGGACTCTGGCGGCGGCTCCCGGATCTTCCGGCAACTCCCCCTTTTCTTTATACCGCCGGATGTCTTCGATCCAGAACATCTCAGGATTCTTCTCCCGATCCCATTCCTCGACTACTACCTGCTGAATCTCTAGGGTCGTTTCTTCTATGCTGGATCGAACTAGTTCTTCTTTTTGACATATCCTGACGAGGTGATCCGGCACACCCTCTAGGGCGATTTTGGATAGTATGTCGACTTCTGTATTATCCGCTCGCGAAATGTACTCTATCTCGTACATTTCAAATCCTTTTAGCAATTCCAGCACTTTTTCTTTATACTGGGCCATCCGAGCGTTCTTGGCTTCGCATGTCCCGGATATCTGTCCGACCACCAGACGAGAGTCGATCTTGATCTGCAGGCGTCCTACTCCCAGTGTCTTGGGGAGTCGTAGGCCACCCAGCACGGCTTCATACTCGGCCTCGTTGTTAGACGTTGGGAACAAGTAGCTTAAAGCGTAGTAAAGCCGGAATCCCTCTGGTGTAATTAACATGAATCTGCCGCCACAATGTTGACGACTGGCTGCTCATTCTGCATGCATCTCCCACCATTCGCCCAAATTATCTTCTGTGGTGTCCCCTTCGTCGCCTTCCCTGGTGGTGCATTCGACCAAGAAATCGGTTAGGGCCTGCCCCTTCATAGATGGGCGAGGCTGGTACTCGATTCCATACTGAGTTAACTCTACTGCCCATTTCACAAGCCGTCCAGATGACGTGGGATTTCGCAATACGTTTCCCAGGGGTTGATCAGTCAAGACCCGAACGGTATGGGCTTGAAAGTAATGTGCCAGTTTACGCACAGTGGTCATCAAGGCATAAACAATCTTCTCTAAGGGTGTGTACCGTGCCTCAACGGCTTTCAGAGAACGACTTACGTAGTATACCGGGTGCTGGGCACGCTTTTCTTCTCGGACGAGTATCGAGCTCACCGCCCTAAAGGAGGCTGCCAAGTATAAGAACAATGGCTCTCCGACCTGAGGGGTGGACAGCACCGACGGTGTAGAAAGATATCTCTTTAGCTCTTCGAATGACTGCTGGCACTCGGCCGTCCACACAAAACCCTCTTTCTTCTTCATGGCTTCGAAGAACGGCTTTGCTCAAGAAGTGACTGAGGGCAGCCAGTCAACCAGTCAGCCGCTACAAGTCCTTAACGGTGCTGGGAGGCTGCATGTCTATAATGGCCTGTACTTTCTCAGGGTTGGGCTCGATGCCCCTCTTGGTCACCATATATCCTAAGAATTTCCCACTTTGCACTGCGAAGGCACACTTTTTGGGTTAAGTCGGAGGTTGTACTTAAGCATTACCTAGAAGCAGTCGGCCAGATCCTCCGCATGGTTGGTTTCTTCTCGGCTTTTAACCAGCATGTCGTCCACGTAGGCCGCCATGGATTTTCCTAGTAGATCTTGGAACAGTCGGGCGACCATCCGAGTGTACGTAGCCCCCGCGTTTTTGAGCCCGAAGGGCATGACTCGGTAACAATACACCCCATCCGGCGTTAAGAACGCGGTCTTCTCCTCGTCTGCTTGATACATGAAGATCTGATGATACCCCCTGAAAGCATCCATAAAACTCAGCAAAGCCGACCCCGCTGTCTCGTCGACTAGTTGATCGATCCAGGGTAATGGAAATGGATCCTTCGGACAGGCCTTGTTGAGGTCGGTATAATCCACGCACATTCGCCAGACAGGGGGTTTCGGTACAAGTACCACGTTCGCCAACCATTCTGGGTATTTGACTTCTCGGATATGACCCGCAGCTAGCAGTGTGTTTACCTCCTTTTTCACAAACTCCCTCCTATCGTTAGCCAAGTAACGCTTCTTCTGTACGACCGGTCGGTGGTCGGGGTCTACGGCGAGTCGGTGAGCAATGATAGATCCGTCGACTCCCGGCATATCCTCTGGCCCCCAAGCGAAGACCAACCGATTCTCTCGAAGTACTTTTATGACTCCCTCCCGTATCTCCTCCGGGAGGCCGATGCCAATCTGGACCCGCCTTTCTGGTCGTCTGGGGTCGATCTCGATCTCTTCTAACTCCACGGCCGGCTCCGGGCGGGGTATCATTACTTTCTTCAGAGGTCTTTCTGTGATCTCATGGACCTGCATCTCACGTTTACCCATGCCTCTGCAGGCTTGCAGATAGCAATCGCGGGCAACTATCCTGTCGCAGCGAACCGTACCTATCCCACTCGACGTGCGGAACTTTAAGCAGAGGTGCTCGGTGGATATCAATGCTCCCAAATCCTCTAGGCCTGGCCGTCCGAGTATGGCGTTATGTGAACAGGTCACATCGACCACAATGAATTTCATGTCTAGCTTCTGTACGTCGGGATAGCTGCCGATTTCTACCGGTAGAGTGATGGATCCTTCTGCTTCCACCGAGTCGCTTGTGAAGCCGGCGAGTGGTGTTTTGAAAGGATTCAATTGCTCTCGGGTTAGTCCCATTTTGGTGAAGGTCTCAAGGTATAGCACGTTGACACTACTCTCGGTATCCACCAGGATCCGTTGAACGACCACCCCATTCACATCCATTGCGATGACTAGGGCATCGCGTGCGGCGTATCTCCTGTAGGCAGATCCTTGTCAGTGAACGTAATGGGCTCTCGGCAAGTTTTCTTTGAACCTTCTTCTCGCCCGTACACTATCCCTACATACAACTGTCGGGCCCAAGCTTTTCTAGTGTTTGCCGAGTCGCCTCCTTCTGGTCTGCCGATTATCATGTTAATAACCGGTTTCTGTCGTCATTGGGCCTCGTCTTCCTCGGTCGCAGGCTGCTTGCCGCGACTGTTTTCAGCTGCCACTGCGGGGTCGCCGTCTTCCCGGGCCGCCGACCTTCTCCGCCACTTGTTAGGAGGCGGGGTTCCTTGCTGAATGATTCCCTCCATGATTTTCTTCAGGTAGTAGCATTCTTCCATGTTGTGAGTGTAGGATTTGTGGTAACGACAGTATTTAGATATCTTACCCGGCTCTTCGTTCGCTGCACACTCCTCAGTCGGGGAAGGCGAAGGAGGTGCGACTGCTTGTACCTCGTGCACCGGATGTTGAGGAGTCGGCCTATAGGGATGGATGATGGGCCTGTCGTAGGGGCGCCTAGCTTCAGGCCGCCTGATCGCTTCCGGGCGTCTCTCCTTGGTCTCTATGCGGGTTCTCTTTCCGCTGGCGGATCCTCCGACCTCGCGCTGTCGCTTGTGCTTCATAGCCTACTCCGTGTTAGCTCACTTATTAGCCATATGTATGGTTTTTGCGTAGGTGGCCGATCAGTTATCACATAGATCACGATACAGTTGCCCGGATCGTAAAGATTCGATGAAGAAGGTGAGGGCAGTCTGGTCCTTAACCTCCTCGATAGACTGGATCTCCTTTTGCCACCGGGCCAAGTAGGTTTTAAGGGATTCGCCCTCCTCTTGATGGACGTCCCCCAGGTGAGTCAGATCCTTTTGTGGCTTGATGTTGGCCGCGTAGTGACTCATGAAGCGGTCGGCCAGCTCTTCAAAATTGCGTATCGATCTTGGGGGCAGAGCCACTAACCATCTTTGGCCGGTCCTTTTAGTGTCGGCAGGAAAGCGCGACACATGACAGGGTCTCGGACCCCCACTAACCATCTTTGCGCTGGGTACTTTGTAAGACATGATCTCAGAGGAAAAAGGCAAGGCGGTGAGCAACGTTCACCCAGGGGATTTGGTCCTTCCTTCCATTTGCTCCTTCAGATTTCGCACCTCTCGAGCCAGTTGAGCCACATCCTCGTCATTTTGCGTGTGGTTCCCGGTGGATTTCGTGCTTTCGCCAGCCTCTGATTCGGCCTGTTGGTTGCTCGGACCATCGCGCCCGAGTCCTAGTTCTTCTATTACGAGCTCTCTCTCGGGCAGCCTCTCGATTTTGTGGTCCCACCGGTACGCGACTGGGCTCTCTCTCTCCTAGTCGTTCTCTCGCGGATCGGCGTGCGGTGTTTGGACCGAGCCTGGAATGGACTAATCGTACCGGTACACTCTCTGCTCGTCGATCTCCTTGCCTGCCTTCCCTGGATCTTTGGGGCGATTGCTGATTGCAGGGCGGCGGTCGTGAAGCCGACTGCCCTCCCCTTCCCCGGTTTTCTGCAGCGATAGCCCGCCCGAGAGCTCGGATTTGTTCGGGAGTGAACGACATCATGGATGGCGGCCGGTTCAAGGGTGCCGACTCATTCTCTTGACTTTGGGCGTTTCGCTGATTCAACTGCTCTCTCAGGTCGACTTCTGGAGCATTATTGCGGTTATTCGCCTGGCTTCGTCCCTCCGACATGCTGCGAAGCTCTTATCTCTCTGCGATATCCTCGTTTGTCTCGTGCACTCGCCTGCTCAGAAAAGCACGCGGCTCTTTGTTTCGATCCCCACGGACGGCGCCAGTGTTGGTTTTAGGGTTTTTGGGCCCAGGGATGTCCAACACAACCTTGGTTGGTGGATACACCTTTCAATAAAGCTACTGAAAATAGAGTGAAATAAACAGTGGTAGTGAATCGTGTGTCTTTATTCTCTAGGCATGGACTCGCCTGGTTTACAAGGGTGGATGAGCCTTTATATAGTAGGCCCTCCTTCAGCCGAGTCAATGTACATTGAAGGCTGCTTTTAAGGCTAATTTACACTTTAGGGTCGTTGGGTGCCGTTACCGGGTCGGCCAACGGCTCCTTGGGCTTCCCTAACGGTTCGCTTGGTCGAGCTCATTGAATGCTGTGATGAATGCTCCTCAACGGCTCTAAGCCGAGCCTTCTCTTCAACCTGGGCCTGGGCCGACTCTTGGACTAGGCCCAGGCCTCTGGTGGGCCTTACTACTGACCCATATTCTCACTTTCTGGGCCGCTACCTACCGTTCTGGACTCTTCTCCATTCTGGGCCTCTTCTCTGGGGCCCGCCTTCTTGGGCCGGGGTCCTCACCCCATCACGTACCATATATGATTCTGCAAATATCATGTACTCTTTTCTTCAACTAGGTTTTTTCGACGTGGTTTTCCTAGTGAAGTTTTTAACGAGACATGAATGTATTTGAATATACTATCGGTATACCTTGTATTCTTTTCTTGTTTAGGTTTTTTTCCCACAGGATTTTCCTAGCAAGTTTTTAACGAGGCAAGGTCGTGGCCAAATAATGTCCAAGGGGGAGTGTTGTAAATAATATTAAGTGGACATTATTATAGTGTTTATAGCACTTGTAACGGTCAGAGGTTTATGACTACACTTATGGTTTCCGTTACAATTGTACATTATATATATGTGCTTATACCTTCTTGTAAAGTTGATGTTTGAATGCAAGATTAATAAAACTCTTCCATTTACCTTGTCTCTTATATTGTCTCTACTTTTTTTGTTTTGTGCTGCTTGCAATTGTATTCACCGATTAGGAGCTAAATGGCCAAAGAGCGTAATCTCCCACAACTAACCAACAATTTTTGCTTTGCATTTTCCAGCCCAAGTGAAACTGTGTCGCTTCACTACCATGTTTTTTAAGTTCAGATTTTGTATTTTGTATTTCTATGCTATTTAATCATGTTTTTAGACGGCTATTGAAACTACCGAGCAATAAATATGGCACCCACGCGTTATTATAACATTCTTGTAGAACGTGGGCAGCGTAATTAAGTATATATCTATATCTATCTATATCTATTAGGAATTACAAACTGATTACAAACAGTTATAAGTATTACATAATCTGATGAGGACTCAATAAAAATTTTAAATAAATGATTTGAAATTCAAAGAACATAATCATTAATCTTATTGTTCCAATGAGGACTCTTCGTTTCTCTAGGATCAGTCCTGATCAGATTCTACCTCCATATAAAGAGGTAGATTGAAATAAACTATTTCACCTTCAGCTTATTCCATCCTATACGTGATATTCTGCCAGAAATAAACCAAAAATGCCTTCACAATATGTCTCAGTCCAGGCCATCAGTTCACAGTTCGTACGTATGAATTACCAGAAGTGCGGGGAGGACAAGGAATGTATATTCCATGATTCAGAGGTAAAAATAAGTTCTAAAATTGTTTACATTCTGACTGTTTTTGGATGTTAAAAAATCAGGTCTAATTTTACTTTCATAAACTGTAGGGAACCTATATACATGCCAATATCTCTAAAGAAGATGTGGAGAAATATCAGGCTATTTTTGAAGAAGGAAAGGTTTACTCGGTGAAGAATTTTCTTATGGGCACTAACTACTATACCTATAAAACCACTTCACACAAGTACCTCATCAAGCTCAATATAATTACAACACTTTTGTAAAAGAAAATCCAAAGAAACAATTTCCTAGTTTTATGTTTCGACTAAGGTCTTTTGAGTCTTTAATGAATCCTGAAGAAGTCAATGACAATGAGCTTTTTGGTAAGTAAATCTGAAAATGTTTTCTTAGAATAAAACTTTATAGGATTTTTGATTAATCTAGTTTTTTTTTTTTTTTTTTTTTTTTTTTGGCTAAAGATGTTATGGGAAGGATTGTGGAAATCTACTCTCCACTACAAAAGATCATTGGTGGAAAAGCCTCCACTCTAATTGATTTCTTAATAGCTGACAAAAAGTAAGTTTGTCTTAATATATCCATCCACTGTTTTTTTTTTTAAGTACTAACTTTATATTTTATATATAGTGACAACAGATTAAAGTGTACTGTGTGGGATGAACATGTGGCTGCCATTCATCAATTCTATAATGCAAATATTCAAGAACCAATCATTGTTGTCATTCAATTATGCAGGGCTAAGATGTAAATGATATGTAGTTTAATTTGATTTACATTACATCTTGTAATGACCTGCTAATCCAATGCTTCTTTTTAGGGTCCGTTTGGAAAGCTGAAAAATGTTTTCTGGAAAATGAGTCATTTTCCGGAAAATATTTTCCTTTCCAGTGTTTGGTTGCATTCTGGAAAACTGTTTTTGTGTGTTTGGTTCATTTTCTGGAAAATGAGTAGAATTATATAATTAAATATTTTAATCATTTTATTTAGAATATTACAACATGTATAATAATATAATAATAATTTTAAATATAATAAAAATAACTAATAATATATAAAAACAAATATTATGGTGGTGGTGGTGGTGTAGTGGTATTATTCGTTATATAATAATAATAACAATAATAATAATAATAATAATAATAATAATAATAATAATTGGTGGTGGTATGACGGTGGTGGCAGTGGTGGCAGTGGTGGTGGTGGTGGCGGCGGCGGTGGTTGCGGTGGTATGGTGGTGGTGGTGGTGGCGGCGACGGTGGTTGCGGTGGTATGGTGGTGGCGGTGGCGGTGGTATGGTCGTGGTGGTGACGGCGGCGGTAGTGGTGGTAGTGTGATGGTGGTGGTGGCGGCGGCGATAGTTGTTGCGGTGGTATGGTGGTGGTGGTGGCGGCGGCGGTGGTTGCGGTGGTATGGTGGTGGTGGTGGCGGCGCCGGTGGTTGCGGTGGTATGGTGGTGCTGTGGTGGCGGTGGTTTGGTGGTTGTGGCGGTGATGACGATGGTTGCAGTGGTATGGTGGTGGTGGTGGTATGGTGTTGATGGTGTTGGTGGTGGTAGTGGTTGCGGTGTTGGTGGTGGTAGTGGTGGTGGTGTGATGGTGGTGGTGTGGTGGCGATGGTTGCGGTGGTATAGTGGTTGTGGCGGCGACGACGATGGTTGCAGTGGTATGGTGGTGGTGGTGGTATGGTGTTGATGGTGTTGGTGGTGGTAGTGGTTGCGGTGTTGGTGGTGGTAGTGGTGGTGGTATGATGGTGGTGGTGTGGTGGCGATGGTTGCGGTGGTATAGTGGTGGTGGCGGCGCCAGTAGTGGTGGTGATGGTGGTAGTGAGGTGGTGGTGGTATGGTGTTGATGATGTTGGTGGTGGTGTGATGTTGGTGTAAAAGTTGGAAAATGACTTCTCCCAAAAAAAAGGGAAGTCATTTTCCTGCAAAACAAGCCTATTTTCCAAAGTCAACGGAAAATGATTTCCGTTGACTTGATTTTCCAGGCACATCCAAACAATTGAAACTTGGAAAATGATTTCCAGAACTCATTTTCCAGGTTTTCAAACACACCCTTAGATGAAGTAAGGATCACTAGTTTCTACGATGCCACCAAACTATGGATAAACCACAATTCTGATGAGTTTTTTTATTTCATATCTAAGTATGTCTATTTATTATACTTTTCTGTGCTATAATTTGCATCGTATTATTGTTTCTACTACTGTTTTTTTTTTTTTTTTCACTTAGACTGACTCTGCAAAGGTGCGTACTATTACCACTATCCTATCACAGTATACTGGCCTAAGGAATTTTAGGGATGGTTCTGTGGTTGTAACTACCCTAGCTAAACTCTTAATGCAACAAAAGGTGAGTCACAAATTTAATATTCACAAAAATAAATGTAGGAAATCAATTTTTTACTCAAATTAGAAAAATCAGTGACTTCACTTACTATATATTCTTTTTATACTAAAAAATGCAGGAAGGTGAATGGTATGTACCTGCTGAAATTCTTGGTATAGAGGGCTCAGGACATTGGTATTACACTTCATGTGTGGCTATCGGATGTAACAAGAAGTTAAAAACTGATGATGATGGATTGCTTTTGTGTACTAAGTGTCATAAAAAGTTTCAAAAAGGAAAAATAAGGCATTAGCTTACAGTTAGGGTGCTGGATGCAACGACAGGTGCTCCCTTCTTAATTTGGGATAGGGAGTGCTCAGAATTGGTGGATGTACCAGCCAGCTTGCTCTTTGACAAGTATGAACAGGTAAAGTAAGTTTAATTTCACCATTGTAAACTACAAAATATATGTCTCGGTTTAGGTAATATATGTATAACAACATAATGTGTTTCCTAATATATTTATAGGTAAAGTGTGAGCAAATACCAATTTTGGTCCCACGAGTATTAGTAAAATGACAGTTTTGGTTCACATGTTTAATTTCTACAAATTTTCATCAACGACTATTGTTTTAGTACCAATTTTAATCCACAATTATTATTTTAGTACCAAAATTCATCACGTCGGCCACCCATTTATTTAAGACATCCCGAAATCTAAAATTTTAAGGGCATTTTTGTCCTTTTCAACTTAAGATTCCAATTTGAGCGCAGCATAAATAAATTAATTTAAGCCCTAAGATCGATCTCAGTTCGCAGTTCTCCTCCTCATCCTACCTTAATTTGATGGAAAAAATTACGAATTGGGATAGATCTTAGGGCTTAAATCCCTTTATTCATGCTCAAATAGAGATCCTAATTTGAAAAGCACGAAACTACCCTTAATAATTTCATATTTCGGCATGTCTTAAACGAATAGGTGACCAGCGTGATGAATTTTGACACTATAACAATAGTTATGGATGAAAATTGGTACTAAAACAATAGTCGTGGATGAAAATTGGTAGGAATTAAACATGTGGACCAAAACTGTTATTTTGCTAATACTCGTAGGACCAAAATTGGTATTTGCACGGTAAAGTGTGGTATACCTCCAGAATTGGAGTGCCTCATTGGCATGAAAATGATATTCAAAGTTGCAATGAAAAAGGATGAAAGGTGTGTCCCTACATCAGCTTTTAATGTCATGCGAGTACTAAGGGACGAAGATTTAGTTGCTGCCTATTGCTCTAAGCTAAATGATAACCAGGACAAGGACCTCATAAGCAGGATGATTGAAGAGGATGATGAAGAAAATGAAGACTCTGATGAGGTAGTGGCACAATTACATTAATGAATTGACCTAACAAAATCATATTTTATTATGCAAATTCTAGATTTTTTAAGTTCTAATTTTCTATATTCAATGTTTCTTGACTTTTCAGGATGGATCCAAAAGAGATGAAGTGAGTAGTAAAGTGACTGCCACTCAAAAGACTGCCAAGATGACTGAATCTGAAGATTCAGACACTCCTAAAAGATGTCTTCTTGACCAGTTCTCTTCATCTAAGCAACTTAAAAAGTCTAATATTCGTACCACAATAGACAACATAAGCCGTAGTCGAGCGGCCCCCATCCTGGAGACTACCACAATCAGAATCTGAAAAAGCAATAACAGTAAGCGGAGAATCGTACCGAAGGAACAACACATGAAGAAGAGACCCTTTTAAGTACCGTAGTACTCTCTTGCCAGCTTTCCAATGACACTCTCCTGGCACATGCATATACTGGGACAACTTGTTAATTACAAATGTCACATCTGGTCTAGTAACTGACAAATATTGTAGCAACTCAATCAAACGTCGAAATCCCGTTGCGTCAACCACTTGTGCAAGATCAACTGGTGGAAGCTTGGCATCTATAGCCATTGGAGTACAGATAACTTTAGCGCCATCCATTTTAAACTGCTTTAGAATATTAGTCAAGTAACAGGCCTGAGACAAAAATAATCTAGTGGGCGTTGGAATGACTTCAACTCCCAAAAAGTGGTGAAGATAACCAAGATCCTCAATAGAAAACCGATTAGCCAAAGCAATTACAAAGGAGTCAAGAAAGTCTGTGTTATTTCCGGTAAGAATAATATCGTCAACATATACCAAGAAATATGCCACAACAGTACAGCTGTTGAATTATAAATAAACAAAAAGGTGTCGGCTACAGACTTGTTAAAGCTAGTGCTCACCAAAAAGGCAGATAACTCTAAATACCAAGCCCAGGGAGCCTGCTTAAGACCATATAAGGCCTTTCGTAACTTACAGACATGAGTAGGCAACTGATGATCATGATAGCCGGGCGGTTGATCCATGTAAACATCCTCATATAATGTACCATGTAAAAATGCATTGTTTACATCTAATTGACGTAACACCCAACGATGACTCAAAGCTATTGTGAGCACAATTCTAATAGTAACAGGCTTCATAACAAGATTAAAAGTCTCAAAATAGTCCCGGCCCAACTCCTGCAAAAATCCCTTTGCAACCAAACGCGCTTTGTAGCGCTCAACCGAACCATCAGATTTCCTTTTAAGACGAAACACCCATTTGCAGCCTATTGTTTTCTGTCCACTATAAGGAACCAAATCCCATGTATGGTTTTTTAACAAGGCCGGATGTTCTTCATTTGTAGCTTTATGCCACAAAGGATCACGTGGAGCTTGAGTGACAGTTGATGGTTCAAGACAAGAAAGCAAAGGATGAGATGTGGTACAATTTACGAACTTGTAATTGTAATACTTGGGATTCAAACGGCGGACACGTGTAGGACAAGTAGGGACAGGATTAAGATTTAATGACTCATGCGGTGGACTACTGTGTTGACTAGGAACCGAACCAGACGAAGATTCTAGAGTTGGCGATGAAGCAGGATGAGTTGCAGCAGGAATAGGTATTGGGTTGTTACTCACACTAGGGGATTCAAAAGATTGTGTTTGTGAGGTAGGTAACAATCTTTTGAGGTAGGTAATAATGGAATTGTAGTTGATGGAGTTGGGTTGACAGAGGGCAGAGTAGATGGGATGGCAAGTATATATGAGGGAAGAGTTGTGACCGCTTCAGAGGGTTGAACCTGAAAAATATTTTTATTTAATGGAAATTCATGTTCAACAAATTTCACATGTCTGGAAACATAGTGGCTATATCCAAACATTTATAACCAGACTGAGAGGTGGAATAACCAAGAAAAATGCATGGGGTGGACTTCCGGTGTAATTTAGTTTTAGCATAAGGGCGCAACCAGGGGAAGCAGAGGCAACCAAACGCCTTCAACCATTTATAATTCGGCAACCTGCGAAAAAGACACTCGAATGGGGATTTGTGGCCTAAAATAGGAGTCGGCAAACGGTTGATGAGAAAAACGGCTATTTGTACTGCATAAGACCAATAAGTGTTTGGAAGAGAAGCACAATGAAGCAATGACAAAGCGGTCTCGAAAATGTGTTGGTGACGATGCTCAGCCGTGCCATTATGCACCGGGGTGTGAGGTGGAGTGGTAAAATGTGAGATACCACATTCATTAAATATTGGAACAAGCTTTAAAAATTCACCGCCATTGTCCGAAAAAATAGATACAATGTTATGACCAAAATAATTCTCAACTTGCTGTCTTTTGGATTATGTGCTAGCTTAGCTTTGAGCGAAATGATGCGCCCTTTTGATGAGTTTGCATAGCTCTTTGTGAGCCGATCCCAGGCTGTAGCCGCGGTTGGAGCAGAAGAGGTCACCAGTTGAATCAACTCGGTGCAGCTCCCTAAGAGAGCGCTAACAATAATCTGATCTTGACGGTACCATATTTGATGAGCAGGATTTGCAGTTGTCCGTGCTGCATCTAGAAATGCAGCAGGTACAGTGACGGTTCCGTCAATATAGCCGAGTAGGCTAAGACCAACCAGCGTGGAGTGAACTTGACGACGCCAAACTGGAAAGTTGGTAGCATTTAGACGGATCGGGAGATGGTTGGTAGCAGTAAGATAAACTAGTTGTGTTTCAGCTGTGATTGCCATTGGAAGTGGATCGGAGTAGAAATAAAATTAATTCTCGTTGGAGTAAATGCTAGCTTTTGATACCATGTGAAGATGAGAAAATCATATATATTAATAAGTACTGACTATTTATAGTCCAGTAATAAAGTTACAGTAGAAGAGAAAAAGGTGGGAATCAAGCTAATTAAAAAGAAATATTTTGAAGGAGAGCTACTGCAACAATATGAAGAGTAAATAATACAATAAATATAAAAGGAATAATACAATTAAGCTTTATCATCCCCTGCCATGAACAGTGATCTATAGTGACTTTATTTTGGAAGGTCAATAATGCACGCCAGATCATTGACGTGTAGGGTCACCATGAGGATAAATAATGCATGCCAGGCCAGGGCATAGCATTGAATCCATTGTTGTATTCGGTCGTACCAAATATATATGTGAATAGAGATAAGATTGTAATGTGTGGCCACAAATCCACAATATATTGAAAATAATAAATAAAATTGAAATATCTCTCCCGTATAGTAAATGATGGCTCTCTTGATATTTTGATTGGTTCAATAGAAACCCGAGACCAAAATGAATGGAATAATCACCATGCATTCATTAATTGAATTTAAAATATAATTTTTCTTGTAAAAATTTTGATTGAGTCCGTCACACATTATTTTTTTAGTGTAATTAATTTTTCTTGTATAATTTTTTTTTATTTATATAAGAGTGAAATTTACTCCATGCATACCCTTAAATAGTGATTGAGAATTTTCTCACTACCAAAAAATAAATTAAAAAATTCAATCATTTTACTTTTCTTTGGTGATATATTATTTAAAATTTATTTTAGATACAACTTAAAAGGTGGGAAGTCGAATCTTTGACATTCTAACCTAAAGTTAAAGATTGGTTTCATGGCTCCAAAAGGTGTGGCCAATTAGAGATGGCAATTTACTCCGTCTCCTACAGGATCCTCAATTCCCAATCCACTTTAAAAAGGCCCTTACTAGCCTTAAGAAACTCCCTAGCCGTTCTAGGCGGTCGGCCGCCTAGGCGCCGAGTAGGTCTAGGCGGCCTAAGCGGTCGTCTAGGCGGGATTTAACTAATTTTTTTAAAAAAATAATTTTTACGCCTAACAATTTTTACAACCTTGTCCTGAGTACCATCAATTAACATAAAAATAACTTCTGGGCTGCCGAGTAGAGGGTTTTCAGCTTATCATATGCCATAGTAAGACGTTCAATCGCTTTTTGTAATTTTCTAGCCTCCGCTAAATCGGTACAAGGCTTATTTAATTTTTTTCCAACAAGTCAAACACCGACTCATGATATTTAGCAACATTGGAGCCCTCCGGCGTCTTTAGGTTAGATTCAATCATAGTAGCAGCAAGCTTGTTATAAAAACCTTTTAAGGAATTTATCAATACAAGGGCCCTTCTTAGAATAAAATCTTAAATTCTGAAATTGACTAGCATCAGTACCTGCTCGCCTTAGCATGAGCATTTCCATGTCTAGATATTCAAGAGACGGGACGGGGATAGGAACGAAAATGTATTTAATTCCCCGTTGAGGACGGGAACGGGGAATACCCCTCCCCGTCCACGAATAATTATTATCATCAAACCTCTTAGCTAGGCTACTAGCATTCACATTTCTGATACAAACAAACAGACAAATATTGAGTGAGACTAGGGAAAGAGATGGATTGTGTTGCTTTAGCTTCTCTGATTGCAACAATCAAGCTTGAGTTTCTACAACCCTTCCCAAGGATCCCTCTTCATCATCAAGAACCAATAATCCATTCTTTCTTGCAAATGATTTCTTCTTTGCAAGCCTTTCTAAAGGAATCCAGGGCTGCTGCTGCAATCAAGGATTTGGAAATCGAAATCAGAGACTTTGCACTCAAAGCCGAAGACAACATCGAAATACAGCTAAGCAACTTTGTGTTGGCCAAAGACAAAGAGGATGAGGAAAAAGCTTCCCAGCAACTCCATCAAGCCTTGCAAGAAGCAGCAGAAAGCGCATCAGAGTTGTTGAGTATTATCGACAAGGTAAGCAATGAAGCGGATGATGAGGAGAATGAAATTCAACCATCAATTCATCATTGGCTAAAGCGTTCTTATTCGGAGTTTGAGAATGATAAATTTGATGGATCCTCACCGTGCTTTCCTGAGCTTGTGGGTGGAAAAATGGTGGGTCGTCACCATGATCGTGAAGAGATAATCAACAATCTCATGCCAATGTTAAATCACTTCTTCTCCAGCTCCTACTTCGTACCCCCTTTAAATAATTAAGAAGATAACTTTGGTCTTCATTGTTGGGATGATGGGCATTGGAAAAACTACTTTAGCTAAAAGTGTGTATGGAGATCGACAAGTTGAAGATTATTTTGATGTACGTGGGTGGATTACAATGCCTCAAGAATACAACAAGAGCCAAATGTTACGCCTCCTTCTTCGTTCAATTTTACCTGCAGTGGAAAACAAATTTGGAGAAGGAAGTGCTATTCCAGCTGATAAACTTGCAGAGCAGGTAAGGACACAATTGCGTGCCAAAATATTTCTAATTGTATTGGATAACATACACGACAGTCGAGCTTTGCATGATATCCAAAGGTGTGTTTGTTGCGGTGATCCTGGGAGTACCATACTGCTAACCACTGGGAACTTCAATCTCAGATTCGACCCTATCTACTATCACCATCAGTATACCCATTACATGACTTTGCTAGATCAAAACCAAAGTTGGGATCTATTTTGCAATAATATGATTTCTCTTAAAGGCCGGGTGGCGCTTGAATTTGTGAAAATCAAGAGTCATATTGTAGAGATATGTGATGGACTACCATGGTCTATTGTTGCAGTTGCAGAGCGTCTGGCTAAATGTCATGACATATTAAAGGAGTGGGAGAAGGTCAAAAAGGAAATGGAGTCACTGGGAATTCTAGATCACAATGTTCTCACTTTCCATTACAATCAATTGTCGGAACATTTAAAAGTTTGCTTTTTATATTTTGGAGTCTTTCCAAAACGTAAAGAAATCCAAGTTAAAAAGCTTATTGGTTTGTGGATTGCTGAGGGATTTTTGGAGCCATTGGAGCATGAAGAGTTAGAAAATCAAGGTTATGTGTTTTTACAAGAACTTATTGATAGAAGTCTCCTCTTAATATGCAATAAAGGTCGTGATGGCAAAATTAAGACTTGTAGGATGCATAGTGCCTTGCATAGCTTTTGTGTTGGAGAAGCTCAAAAAGTAGGTATTTTTTGTGCAGTAAATACTCTGCAACATACTGCATTGTCATTAAGCGAGTTTGCAAATTCAAGTCGTTGGTTAAGTTTATATACACATAGTTTTGACTATTATGTGTTGTTTAGTACAAACAAACCTCGCTCCATTTTTTTCTTTGATGATGATCCTAAAACTTTTGTACCTTTCAAGCTGTTAAGAGTTTTGGCCTTTGTTCCATCTCCATTCCTCCAAAGAGTGTCAATGCATTCGAGGCATTTAATTTTTTTGAGATACTTATTTATAAGTCAGAGGTTTGAGGGGCTAGGTAATATAGTGTCAAATAACCCGAATTTACACACACTTATTGTTTCCAGTGATGAACCACAAATTGGAGCTCCTACAATTCATTTGTCATCCACAATTTGGCAGTTACCACACTTGAGGCATCTTGAACTTGGCGATATGTATACAATAGATGATCCTGCAAGCATGGTTACAATGACGAATTTGCAAACATTATCTTTGGTGAGCCCAACTCATTGCGGAAGGGAAGTGCATTTCAATTTTCCAAACATAAGAAAATTGAAACTTTTTTATAAAGAAGACTTGGTGCCCAGTCACATTGGCAGTTCTTCTGGCAATCCCATCACTTTGTATAATTTGGACTATTTGGAATGGCTTGAAAGGCTAACAATTTCAATTTCGATTGGCTGGATTGTAACCCTTCCTGAAAGGTGTATGTTTCCTTCACAATTGAAGAAATTAAACTTGAGTGGGGCTAAACTTTCTCAAAGAGATTTAACGGCAATTGGAATGTTGCCGGAGCTTAGGGTGCTCAAGCTTGAAAATGCCTTATTGGGAAGAGTGTGGGAAGTAGCTGAAGGAGAATTTCGTAAATTAAGATTCTTGCTAATTGAGGATAAAAAACTCAAGCAATTGCAAAGTAATGAAGCATACACTTTATTATGTCTTGAGCGTCTAGTCCTAAGATGTTATTGTTTGGAACAAATCCCATTAAGCTTTGTTGGTCCCAAGTTGAAGCATATTGAGCTGGATGGGTGTAACCCTTCCATTGTTGCTTCTGCCAAGCAGCTCATGATTATCAAAGATTTGTACGGTCGAGTTGAGGTTAGATGCTAAAACGCCATTCATTCTTGATAATTAATTATTTAGATTCTATTCTTTAAAAAATCTATTACTATTAATTTCTTTATATGATCTCAGTTTACTATTAATAATTATTTGTTTTGTGTATTTTGCATTACTTGCATAGATTAAAATCCAAGGGCAAGGGGCAGGGCCTGAATATATAGAAGATGTTGAAAAGGCAAATTGTGAGGTTAGAAGTTATGGCTCATTCATTATATTCAGTCTTGTTTTTTCTTGTTTCTTAGATGCGCTGAACTTAATTGTGTGCAAAATCTGTTATTTTTTTAACCTCATTTGTTTTCATAGATAAAAATGGAGGAGAAGGGTGAATCATGAGCAGGGGCAGGGGGGCAGATGGTAGAGGAAGAAATTGGAGTTGGGAAATTGAAGTCTTACATTCACAAATTAAAGAAAATGAGATTGAGAAATATGTTAAAATGCGCAAGCCCAAAAGTGGATTGACAAGGAAGACCAAAATGAAATGAGGTTAGAAGCCCAAACGTCTGCCTCACAAATATGTGAGTCGATCGTTATACCCTACACCACGGCGCACATAGCACTGTGCGCCGCGCGCCTCCCAAAACGACGTCGTTTTGGGAGGCGCGGTAGGAAGTTGCTGGGATTATGTGTATTTGTTCACACAGTTATATGTATTTGTTTATACAATTATGTGTATTGGTTCATACAGTTATGTACATTTTTTATACAATTATGTACATCCGAATCAGAAAATTTGTGTGTATTATGTTAATAGTTGATGTGTATTATGTTAAAAGTTTATGTTTATTATGTATTATGTTAGATTATGTGTATTATCTTTTAAAAAGAGTATGTATATTTTGTTATATAATTATGTACATTTATGTATACAATTATGTGTATTCTAGTATAATATTATGTACATTCTTGAACAGCGGGTTTTTTTTTAAAGAAAAAACTACTGCCATTCACTGGGGCGGGAAATTTAAAAAAAAATAAAAATTAAAACGACGTCGTTTTGCATCTGGGCGCATAGTGCAACACGCGCTGTGGTGTAGGATATAAATTGCCTATGTGAGTGGTGAATTTATGGGTTAGTTGGTCTAAATTCTAAGCTTGACCTTAGGAACGCATCTATCTATCATCACTACATTTTTTTTTAATAGAACTAGTATTTTCAGCCGTGCGATGCACGGAATGGAATTGTTGTAATATATTAAGAATATTTAAATCGATAAAGAGTTAATTTCATCAGAGGTCACTTATCTTTCCTAACAATTCCAAATTTAATCCTAGACTATAGTTATTAATTATTACGATTTATTCTATGTTATAATTCTTACGTTAATATTCTTACTATTATTATTAACACTTAATTACTTTTAGATATTATTTTTACCACTGATATTATTATTATTATATTATTATTATTATTAATTTCTTTTCAAGTTTTGTTAATATATAATGGCCGTGAGGCACACAATAATAATATAACCATTGATGGAGAAAATTGATCCAGCGTACGACGACCCAGGGTATGTATTTATACGCATCAATAATCTCCCTAGAAAATATATGAATAATGTAAAGAGATTGCAGGGAATCAATAAATAAAAAATAAAATATATGAATAATGTAAAGAGATTGCAGGGAATCAATAAATAAAAAATAAATATGCAGGACACAAGATATTTAACGTGGAAACTAATACGGTGAAAACCACGAGCCTTTTTGGGCTAAGCCAAGCCGAAATCCACTAAGTTGTAGGTGTAGTACAGGTACATAGGTGGCCATGGCCATGGAATGGTTGACAGAAAGAGTATGTATAAGAGAGGTTTATATTTGAGACTGGCGTGACCCCCTTTGTCTGCATCCCGGAGCTTTTATATAATATTATTTGTGCAGTTGTAACTTCCCGTAGTCTTCCCTCTTTGCTTGTCATGATAACATCTTCTCTTTGACTAATATATTATTATTATTATTATTATAAAATAATAATAATAATAATAATAATAATAATATGGCATGCATATTATATTATTCCATCATGAGTCCCCCACTTTCTTAACCGCAAGTATTTTTTTGGTATAAGAAAGTAGAAAAACAGATGTTCACCAAATAAAAATGATAACACTCGGAGTGCATCCTTAACTAGCAGTGTAGTCTGGACTGTATGTTTGTGCGCAGAGCACCAAATTAAAGTATGTTTGTCTGTCGTGTTTAGCCGTTTGGCCAAATTATTTTTGCCTTGAACCCGTAGCTTTCGTTCGGCGATAGGCGAGGTCGGACCTCGTATCGCCCCTAGGGCATCAAGGTTGCGTTACATCCGTTCGACGATAGGCGAGGTGGGACCTCGTACCGCCCCTAGGGTGTCAAGATTGCGTACGCCCGTTCGACGATAGGCGAGGCCGAACCTCGTACCGCCCTTAAGACGTTTTAGCCAGGTAGTGAACAAGGACGAACCTCGTATCACAGTTAGAGTATACCAAAGTCGGGGCTGGCGCGCACAACCACGACCATGGATCGATCCTTATACTTTATTTTGATGTAATAAATAATTCAGAGTGTCCCACTTTGCTTAGTGGTCCACTTATTAATATCACTTTATTATTTAAGAAACATATATAATATACACACGTACGCATACTGTGCTAATGCATGCATGCTTTTTCCAAACTATGGCCATTGTAGATATCATATTTGCAATGACCAGTGGTAGGAGCGAATGGATGCAACTCTTCAAATATGTGCAAACTGTTCATACCATTACGAAGTTCATGTCTACGTTCGTCTCAAGTTTCCAGCAAAGCAGCCTCTCCCACAAGCAAATGGGAAGAACACCGAAAGGCTATCGGCCAAAATGGTCAACCAACCAGAAACCAGTGAATCTCCAAGAGCCTCTCTACTCTGTCAGCCACAAGAGAAATCAAATTCGCCCTGCTAACTTCCAAATTCATCAAATACGTTTTTGTTTCCTCCATGGCCTCCAATCTCATATTTTGTAGGGAGGCATAGAAGCAGCAGGTTTGGAGTTACAGATTAGAAATCTCCAACTAATAGTGAGAATATAGATGCTCCCAGATATACTGCCTGGCCTGCTCATCATCATTGTGCTTTGTTGTTACACTGACTTTTCAACCTAACTCCAAACTGTTTTATCATGCTACAATCAACACCAGTTGTACGAGCTACCGTGAACACTTTGGCCCCAAACCTTGCAATTGTCCCAAGGTTGGTGATTGCTATATGGTGGTGTGTGTTCTGCTCCTTGACAATTAAAGATGAGAGGCATAGAATGATCTGGTTCATCTAAAGAGATTGGCACATCCCTCAATACAGCACTTCAAAGCAACAATTGACAACTTCTTATCTTTTAACAAAACTGCCATGCAAGATGAGGATTATTATATATGCTCCTCTGCAACAGCTACACAAGCTTTCGTCAAGTAGCATCTACTTTATTAATTGCCTTTTATATCAGCATACGTTCTAGCACTCAGAATTTATTGCGTAAAATTAAGATGCCCATGCATATAGTCTGTTCATTTTTGAAATCTCTAACGAAACTGGTTGTTCTACGTAACCCTCACAGATCATGTTGATGATGATTAATAAACAAAAGATACATGCGATCAAGAATATTCTGATCGAGCGGCACCCAGGTCCAACAAGAGAGCCTCCTCCGATCCTATGCTCCTTAGGAATTCAAATGAATACGATCGTTTTACAATAAAATCCGGATCGTTGAATTTGTCCTTTTGAATTGTTGTTCCGTCTCCATCGGAGACGGTTCCTACGTGATCCCCCGACTGTTGCCAAATCGGATTTTAGCGAAATTTCCGCCGAAACGGCTCCAATATCCTGCTCTCCATTATCATGCCATCCAAGCTTGGTCGTATTCTCGCCGCCAAGACTGGAACGAACGACGAATCTGGCTGGAATATTCTCGCGCGGCACAACGAACAAATCACATGCGACCGGAGCCATCAGTGCAATCCACGTAGAATGCGTGTGAACATACTGGAAGCGTGCGGACATAGTTGTCGCCTTCGGATTCCGCCAAACAAATCGCGCAGTCGTGAACGCCGCTCTTCCGGCTATAGATATGTGAGCCGTACGTTTTGGTTTGCTCCGGCTTCCTGAGGATAAGAGGTGGAAGGTGATCGTTGATAAGACTGACCAAAGCATTGGAAAAACATCGGGCTTTTGGATTCTCAGGGACAGAAAGCGCAACGGAGTCATCGTAGCCCGACAACGAAGAATTGTGTTTCACTGATAATAAATAGTGCAGCAGTTCTTGGGTTTTCGCCCTTCGTACATCCATCTACTACTGAATCATTGCCTAAAGCCAACATGGGGATGAGATCATTTTGGGGGTGTGTAAGGCTAACATGAGACGGTCTAATGTAACTGAAGAGTTATCGCTGTGATTGGTGGAGACGAATCTCATCATTCTTGAGGTGTTGTTTTTGTAAAAAAAAAAAAAAAGAAAAAGAAATAGGTTTGATTAAGGAGAGCAAGCTAGAGTTTGTACAGCCACTCTCAACAAGAGCACCATTGATGGAGAAAATTGATCCAGTGTACGACCCAGGCAGGGCCGTATTTTAAGTTTTGGTGGCCCTGTTCTGGTAAATAAATGTGGCCCTACTAAAATCGCAATTTTTAAAATCAATACATGCAAGTTTCGAACCTTTGACTTCAAAGTTAAAATACAATAAAAATACATTCTTACCATCTCTTCATGGAACTTTTTAAATTCAATTGAAAATTTTTTATTTTTATTTCTAAACTAACTAGATAAAAATTAAATATTGGACTTCTAAAATTTGGGGCCCCTCTAAAATTGGGGGCCCTGTGCGGTAGCCCAGCTTACACAGCCTAAAATCCGGCCCTGGACCCAGGGTATGTATTTATACGGATCAATAATCTCCCTAGAAAATATATGAATAATGTAAAGAGATTGCAGGGAATCAATAAATAAAAAATAAATATGCATGACACAAGATATTTAACGTGGAAACCATTACGGTGAAAACCACGAGCCTTTTGGGCTAAGCCAAGCCGAAATCCACTAAGTTGCCACGAGCCTTTTTGGGCTAAGCCAAGCCGAAATCCACTAAGTTGTAGGTGTAGTACAGGTACATAGGTGGCCATGGCCATGGAATGGTTGACAAAAGAGTATGTATAAGAGAGGATTATATTTGAGACTGGCGTCACCCCCTTTGTCTGCATCCCGAAGCCTTTATATAATATTATTTGTGCAGTCGTAACTTCCCGTAGTCTTCCCTCTTTTCTTGCCATGATAACCTCTTCTCTTTGACTAATATATTATTATTATTATAAAATAATAATAATAATAATAATAATAATAATAATAATAATAATAATAATAATAATAATAATAATATGGCATGCA